CCGTGTGCGGCAGGATAAAGCTGCTCGGGTTAAAGTGATGCAATGACTTCACCACATTACTACGTCCCAGACGTGAGTCTAGATGAGGCGACGGGTGAACCGAAATTCCAAATGAAAAACCTTTTCCCTCCTTCAGGAAATATCCCTTAAGGAAGAGTAGTATTAGGATGAAATGGATGTTGAAGCGATCTGTGAGTCGGGGGTAGGTGGTTCTTTGAAACTTAGATTTTAGGATGATGCACAGGGCGAAAAGTTAGGGAAAAAGGTGGAAACAAAACCTTAAGTCTATGAATGTCAAAAGAAGAAGTAGAGTAGCCTGCTTCTTAAATTCCAGATGTGTTCCTTGAAGCTTAGTCTTGTATGTGGTGAATGTATGTTGTTGTTGTTTGCCATCGACCCCTCCTTGGGTTTCCAAGGCAGTATCACTACGGAAGTAGATTGCCCAGTCTTCCTCACAAGGAGTGGCTGGTGGGTTTGAACCTCCAGCCTTCTGGTTAGCAGTCAAGTGCCTTAGGCACTATGCTACCAGAGCTCCTGGTGAATGTTTAGTGGTGCTATTTAGGGGGCTGAGAGAAATACAAAATAAATGTTGTATTATGTTACTGCTGCAAATAAGTAGGGAATAAATAGATCTTCCAGTGAATATTGGACTGGCACATAAAATTTGTTGACTTTGTTTGATAATAAAATATGCAAAATAGTGCATAATGAGGAGGAAATGTGTGTTCTTAGAATGACTTAAGCATTCCTGTGAAAAACCAAACCACACTCAGTGCCATTGTGGGTTCCAACTCGTAGCTACCCCCACTGGGTTTCCAAGGCTATAAATATTTAGGGAAGCATCTTTCTTCCACAGAGCAGCTTGTGGGTTTGAACTGCCAACCTTCTGGTTAGCAGCCACATACCTTAACCGTTACACCACCAGAGCCCGTTTCCTGTGAAAGACTGCTACATTTACTGTAGAAACCAAGACCTATCCTTTCCTAACTCACCATCCTTTGTACTACTGCTTTTGCCTAGGATGAGTGTTACTCCCTTCTTTCCTACTGAATGTACCAAAAAAATTAAAACCAAACCCACTGCCATCAAGTCACTTCCCACTCATAGTGCTTCTCATTGGGTTTCTGAGGCAGTAAATGTTATACAGGGAACTTTGAAGCCCATTTTTTTACCCTAGATTCCAGGACAGTAGTTAACCCAGGCACCACACACTGGTACGGTTTGGATTCTTTATTGGTGTGTTGACAAACTGTGATAGATGTATCCAAACTCTAAACTCACTGCCACTGAGTCGAGTCTGACTCATAGTAACCCCCTTTGGGTTTCTGGGGTGCTAAATCTTTACAGAAGCAGATTGCCCAGTCTTCCTTCTACAGAGTGGTTGGTGGGTTTGAACTGCCAGTCTTCTGGTTAGCAATCAAATGCCTTAGGCAACACACCACCAGAGCTCCTTGTGATACATGTATAGAACTGGCACTATTATGGGGACATTTCTCAGATGAAACGTTTAGCTGAGCAAGTTGTGCAGTGCCGCATACAGTAGGGTACAACCTGCTGTAAGAAGTTAACAGGCTTAATCCTGGGTAGCACCAACTGTTACATGCTCAACTGTAGCTGAAATGTTGGCAGTTAAAACTCACCCAGCGGTACCTTGAAAGACAAACCTGTTGATCTGCTTCCGAGAGGTCACACAGCCTTGAAAACCCTGTGCAGCAGTTCTACTCTGCACACGTGGGTTGTCATGAATCAGAATTGTCTTGATGGTAGCAATTGAACATTAGTGATTTAGAGAAGGATCTTACCTTTATTGGAACTTAGGAACTTTACCTCATGGACTCTTAGAGAATGTTGTTAGGGCAGTACACAGTCCTACTCAAATCAGGAATAAAGTGTTCATGATAGCACTTGAGGTTATTGATTGCAGATAGCTGCTTAAGCACATTAACTGAGCATAAAATCGCAGTTAAAATCTGTGTGACTTGTTAAAATCAAGTCATTCCCATTCTCTGGCATATCCTGTTTTTGTATCTTCCATAATCAACATGGTGAAGGCTTTAGGTCATGAATAGAATTTCACCAAGAAATCTATTTCTCCCATGTTCTCAAGGGAGCTCTGGTGGCGTAGTGCCTAAGGCATTTGACTGCTAACCAGAAGGCGGTTCAAACCCACTAGCCACTCCTCGGAAGGCAGGCTTGGCAATCTTCTTCTGTAGTAATAATGCCTCGGACACCCAAGGAGGGGTCGCTATGAGTTGGATCTGACTCGACAGCAGAGAGTTGTGTTCTCAAAGTGATAGTAAACAATATGTGTGTAGTACCCACACTAGTGTGAGGGCTTTGCCTGTGAGAATTCTAGAGCAAATCTGGATTGTCTCTTCTTTTTCCTTCATGGTGTAGACAGGATTTGGTCCCAACTACTGAGAGCTGACTTTTTTTTATTGCCTCCTTTGAGTCTTAAATGATAAGCTCTGTTGAGATCTAATCAACATTTTATTTGAGGCTGCTTCAATGAGCAGGTCTCTCACTGTTCCTCATTAGCAGCATTAAACTTTAAGTAAGCTAATTTTTGACAGAATGTTCTTACAGGAGCTTTGTAAGCATTTTAAGCCTCATTTGTTGCAAAATAACAAAATGTGCCTTTTTCCAGAGCATGGTATCTACAGATCTTGGTATAATATGTTTAATGGTTACAGTTGTTAATTTCCTCGTTTCCCTGAGAGAAAGCTATTAATTTTATGGTTAATCATAAGGTGACTTTAGACCTACACAGGGAAAATAACCAAGGGTCTCTGTCATGAATTGAACTGTATACTCCCAAAATATGTGTCAACTTGGCTAGGCCATGATTCTCAGTGGTTAGCCACTTGTATAATGATGTAATCATCCCATCAGTTGTAAAGGGATTAAGGTGGGATGCAACATCCTTACTCAAGTCATAGCCCTGATCTGATGTAAGAGGAGGTTCCCTGGGGTGTGGCCTATATCACCTTTTCTCTTATAAGAGAGAAAAGGAAAAATAAGTGACTAGAGAAGGAGAGACCTTTGTACCATTGAGAAAAAAAGAACTAGGAGTGGAGCATGTCCTTTTTGGACCCAGGGGTCCCTGCTCTGAGAACCCTTAGACCCTGGGGAAGATTGAGTCCAAGACACATGAAGATCTCCAAGGGCCCAAAGATGGTGAAAGGAGACAATAACTACCCCCAGAGCCAACAGAGAGAGCAAGCCTTCCCCTAGCGCTGGTACCCTGAATTTGGATTTCTAGCTTTGTAAACTGTGAAAGAATGAATTTCTGTTTGTTAAAGCCATCCACTTGTGATATTTCTGTTATAGCAGCATTAGATAAGTAAGATAGTCTTCTAGAATAGTTTGATGCCAAAAATTAAAAAATTTGAAACATGTCCAAATTCACCAAAAAAAAAAAAAAAAAGAAACAAAACAAAAAACAACACCCAAACTCACTGCCATCGAGTGAATTCCAACTCATAGCAACCCCCATTGGGTTTCTGAGGCTGCAAATCTTTATAGGAGTAGATTGCCCCATCTCCTTTCTGCAGATCGGCTGTTGGGTTTGAACCACTGACCTTCTGGTTAGCAGCCAAATGTCTTATCCACTATACCACCAAATGCACAGTGGTTGAATATTGATCTGGAGAGACAGATTACTCTTGCATAGTAGTCTTCCAAATATTTTAAAACAGAAGGATTATTTGCCAAGTATTATTGTACATAGGACCTAGTTCCAGAATAGGATTGATCTAGCTGACAAGGACTATGAAGTGCTGGATTTGCCATTAAAAAAAAAAAAAAACCCAAAAACAAAAAAACCTCACTGCTATCAAGTTGATTCCCATTTATAGTAACCCCCATTGGGTTTTTAAGGCTGTAAATATTTACAGAAGCAGACTGCCTCATCTTTTTTCTGTGGAGCAGTTGGTGGGTTCAAACCACCAACCTTTTGATGAGCAGCCAGATGCCTTGCTTGAGTAATTTCCACTTTGAATAATTTCTTTTAGAAAGATCAGCACAAGGCTGATCCTTATGAGGCAAAGGTTAAAGATGTCCCAAATGTCCAACTTTTCCAAACTACTCTACCACTCTATCATTTCTAACAGGAATGCCTCCTCTTCCCCGCAGTACTCTCCCTCTTGTCTTAGTGTTCCCTGTTTCACTGTAATGTCTCACAGAACTCACAAACTCCCAAGAAAATGGTTCATGTGGTAGTGATGGAGGCTGGGAGACTGTCAAGTCTCAAGTTGTAGGTAGGTCTGGAGGATTCTTCCAATTTGTGTGGTTGCAGGGGCTGGGGAACTCGAAGCCGGTCAGGTGACTGGTTGCTATCTCAAATCCAGAGTGAGATGATGTAGAACACAACGCAGGACTGGAGCAAGAGAGAAAACTTTCCTAGAACATCCACATATACACCATAAAGGAAACTAATAGTGGTGACTTGAGTCACACCTTCCAGCAAGGTGAGACTAAAGACACATCCCACCCTAAAAAGGCATAGAGATGAGGATTTACAATACATCACAAAATGGAGGATGATGGCTAGAAGGGCCATACTAAGCAGTCACTGCACTGCACTGTATCACTACACCACCAGAGCTCCTGTTGCTCTGCCTGAGGATCACATAAAGGCAATCCCTCCTCTCCCCCTTACGAGTAGAAAGACTAGTATTTTTCTTTTGAAGTGCTTTCTTCTCCCACCACTATTTGCCAGCTTGCCATACTATGGTGGTCTTCATGGCTGGAAGCCACAGTACAAGTATTTTAAATATCATCAGGGTCACCCATGGTGGGCAGGTATCAGTGGAGCTTCCAGACTAAGACTTGAAGGATGGTCTAGCAATCTACTTTTGAAAATTAGCCAGTGAAAATTCAGATGGTCACAGATACAGTCCAGGACTTAGACTCACTTACTTAGGACATATCATCAGGAGAGACCAATCTCTGGAGAGTGATGTCGTGTTTGGCAAAGTGGAGGGCAAGTAAAGGTGAGGGGAACTCTCACTAACATGGACTGACACAATGGCCACAACAATGGATTCAAACTTAGCAATGATCATGAAGATGGTGCAGGATTGGGCAACATTTTTGTTCTGTTCTATGTGAGGTTGCCATGAATTGGAGCTGACTGGATAGTAATTGTGGTAGTTAAGATTGTGTGTCAGCATGGCTGAGTTGTGGTTTTGGGTGGTTTGGCAGCTGGATGTAGTTATTCCCCATGATACTGTAATCATCTCCGTGGTGGAATCTACTGTGAGGCACTAAGTAGTTGAAGGGGAGTTACCTTTGGGGTGTGGCTTGTTTCAAGTATATATAGAGAAGCTTTGAGAATGGTCTTTAGCTTCTTGGCACATTCTGGATTCTGTACTTGGCTGAGTCTTCATCTCTAGGCCCTGGACTTGAGCCAGCGGCCTGCCATGTTGCCTGCCGACTTTGGAATCGTTCCTGGACCTGAACAAGTGTCATGCTGTGTCGCCTGCTTGTGTGGTTGCAGATTTGCCCAGGGTGACAGGTCATTTGATTTCTTGACAGCTGCTTCTGTGGGTGTTGATTGAGGATCAAAGTACAATCAAATCCTTCAGTTCCTTCAGTTTTTTCTCCATTTATCATGATGTTGCTTATTAGTCCAGTTGTAAGGACTTTGGTTTTCTTTATGCTAGCTGAACATGTGGTAGTATTCCCAGCTTTAAATAAATTTTTAAAATAGTCAATGATGGAACAAATTGCAGAGGTTACTACTGATAATTTACTATCTCTAAATGTATTTAAGAGTAACCACCAGTATCTCTAATTGATAAAATACACAATTCTTTTACATATATAATCTCATCTATCTCATGAGATAGAAGATGTGGGGAAGTATTCAAGCATCAAATGTGTGGTTAGACCTTTTGGTGCCACAGAATGCTTTCTAGGGAAAGAGAATGTGTTAATACTAATGCCCAATTTACCATTAAAATAACTGAATTACAACCAGAAGGCTAGGAATAATATTTTATACTTGAGTCTTTTCATTTGTGCTTTTACTTAAATGTTTTAGACTTTAACTAGGTTGCAGTTATTTCATGCAGTAATGAATGTTACATAGTTATTCCCGTAGCCTCAGGAATGCATGCATTCCCCCTCCCCTTAGAATATAGAGAAAATGATGGATGACCTATTTTAAATCATCTCCATTAAATAAAGTGGCATTAAAATGGCTGGTTTCAAATGGCCATATGATCAGTTTTAATGTCAAAGCTACCCCTTATATCATTAAAATTACATTTTTATATATGTTGCACAATGCTCACTCTATTCTACTTCGAGGTTTTTTTTTTTTTTTTTTTTTTTTTTGCAGTGTTTCCTTACCTCCCCTCCCACCCCTGGTAACCAACAAAGAAAGTTTCCTTCCATATCTACTTTGAGTTTTTGAACTCTTGACTTACTATTAAAAATTGATGGTAAATTTGTTCACTGTTTGATATAAACTAGCTTTGTTCTTGTTGTTAGGAGCTCTGGTGGTGTAGTGCTTAAGGCATTTGACTGCTAACCAGAAAGCTGGTGGTTCAAACCCATCAGCCACTCCTCACAAGGAAGACTGGACAATCTACTTCCATAGAGATACCGCCTTGAAAAGCCAAGGTGGGGTTGCTCTGAGTCGGATCTGACTTGACGGCCTTGAGTCTGGTTATTTTTTGGTTCTTGTTGTTAGTTGTCAAGGAGTTGATTCCGACTCATGGTAACTCCATGTGTGTGGAGTAGAACTTTGCTCCATAGGGTTTTCAAGGCTGTGACTTTTAGAAGCAGACCACCAGGCCTGCTTTCTGAGTCACCTCTACGTAAGTTTAAACCACCAACCTTTGTGCTAGTAGTTGAGTTCTTAACTGTTTGTACCACCACTTGTTGTTGTTGTTGTTATGGGCCATCGAGTCAGACCCAACTCATAGCGACCCCTCCTTAGGTTTCCGAGGCAGTAGCACTATGGAAGTAGATTGCCCAACCTTCGTTCTGAGGAGTGGCTGATGAGTTTGAACTGCCAGCCTTCTGGTTAGCAGTCAAATGCCTTAGGCACTGTGCTACCAGAGCTCCACTAGGGACTTCTAAACTGGCTCTAATGAACAGATATATTAGGAAATAATCAATGAGTGATTAGCTCATATTTTAGGAATACTTATGCCTTAGGGAGAGATATTACATGCTTACTAATAATGTTCAACAAGAGTAAATGTCCAATTTAATATTATTTCTTCAATTCATTCTCTTATTTTATTCTATGTTTAGAGATTCAACCTTGTCCTTAAGAGTGTATAGAAATAATTTTTACTGTTGTTTCCTGTTGTCTGTTCCTTGGAAGGAAGGTTGGGCAATCTACTTCCGTAGTGATACCACCTCGGAAACCCAAGGAGGGGGCATTATAAATTAGATCCAATTCGACGGCAGTGAGTTTGGTTTTGGTGTTGGTGCTGGGTTAGCAAGTCTGTGTTTGAAAGATAGAGGTTTTATTTGAAATAAATAAAAAAAATTAAATTTCAGTATTCTCACCTATAGCTGTTTATGTATCTATCTTCTTAAAGTTGATGGTATTTCTACATTATCTTAATTTGCTGAATTATTTCCTTTTAACCTTAGATAATATAAGTCATCACTAGACAATCTTCCTGAAAGAAGAAATTTTTCAAGAGAAATTTGAAAGTAGCAAAAGGGAAGATATTTGACAACACATGTAGAGAACAGCATAGAAGTAAGTACTTCATGGAAGAAGATGACAAGAGGATATAAAAAACAAATCTGAGTCCAGATAGTAGAATTGAACTAAGATATGAGTTGAATTCAGAAAGGCATAGATGTTTTTAGATTTTAAAGTTACTTGAATTTCTAGGTTGTGTAAAGAAATCTAAATTGTAAGCATTAAATATGTATATATTTAGAAGGCACATTCTTAAGTAGTCTTAATAGATATCTTTTAGGGAATTTAAAGTAAAAAGAATTCAGACATGTTGCTATTGTGTTGTTAGGTGCTGCTGAGTCCATTTCGACTCATAGTGACCCCATGTGACAGAACAGAATTACCCCATAGAGTTTCTAGGCTGTAGCCTTTATAGGACTAGATTGCCATGTCTTTCTCCCCTGGATTTACTGGATGGGTCAAACTGCTAGCCTTTTGGTTAGCAGCTGAGCACTTAACCATTGTGCCACCATGTTGTTGTTGTTTGCCGTCGAGTCGGCCCTGACTCATAGCGACCCCTCCTTGGGTTGCCGAGGCAGTATCACTATGGAAGTAGATTGCCCAACCTTCCTTCCTAGGGGTGGCTGGTGGGTTTGAACCACCAGCCTTCTGGTTAGCAGTCAAGTGCCTTAGGCACTATGCTACCAGAGCTCCCTTGTGCCATCATAGTAGACATATACTTTGAAAGTTTCAGTCCTATGTTAATGGTATGAAATAATTATTTGAATATTAATTGTAAGTCATCCATAGGTAGAGAAAGATAAAATGCCCAGTTAAAAAAAATTGATTGGATAGTGTTTGAGGATTTATTTTTAAACCCATAAAAATGGCAGTGTAGCATATTCTGGTAACTTCTATAAAACTTGAAATACTTAATATTGCATTTCCAAGATACTTTCATACCTTTTGCAAGGATCAAAAATCAATAGTATTATCAAATCTATGTCATCATTGGTTACCCACCTAAAATATTTACTAGATAGTAAAGTGCTAGCAAAATTCAAGTAATATAAATAATGTCTTAACTTTTGTTTTGGCAGATTTTACTTCTTTCATTCAATTAACTAATTCAGCAAGACTTTCTTGAACACCAACTCTGTGCTAAGTATCGTCCTAGGCAATAGAACACAGCAGTGAACAAAACAGACAAAATTTCTTGCTCATATACAGCTTCTGCTGGTGATGTCTTTTAGCTTCAGTATATTTAGAGTTGGATTCCCTTTTGTCATGATGGGTATTTTCAACAATTCAACAGTAGCCACTTTACCAGAGTTGAGTCCTCAGAAATATTTCGGTACATTGCAAGCAGGAAAAGCTTCTTTAGCTTATTTTTGTCAAGCTGGTAAGAATTTTTAAATTCTAATGTGATCCTTGTGATTTTTGTATTGCTATTTAATCATGCTCAGTGGGAACTTATTGTTGGAATGAATAATACATAAAGTTGCTACTATAATATTCTGCTTGGGTCAGAATCCTGACTTTGCCACTTGACTTGCTCTGTAGCCTTGGTCAAGTTAGTTAACTTCTATTTGTTTCTGTTTTATTATCTATTATTGCAAATAGTACTTGCTTTGTAAGGTTGTTTTGAGGATTAAATGAGTTTACTTGTATAGCTGGTCCTAGTAAATACTTAATAAGAATTGTCAATTAATAGTATCATAACATCTGAATTTTAACTAGTTATTTCTGAAAGTACACTTAGTCATATTGTCACCATGAAAATATTTAAAATCAGTTATTTTAACTTTAAACGTAACATTAGTAATGCTTAACACTCTACTTTAGCTATAGCATTCGTTATATTGAATTAACTAATATAAAGAATATAACTAATAATTCTGATAGACCTATTAAGTCCTCATGCTTTAAAAATACTGTTCTTGGAATTAATAAATGAAGTGAATCCACATTTCTGTTAGCTAGCTTATTATAATTTTAAAATTGTAGCTTAAAATAATTTTGAAAGTTCTGTGCATGCATATATGTGTATTATGTATATAATGTTAAATTTGAAAGAATAATGCCAATTACCAGGTTTAAATGAAACATTCAGTTATCTTTCTCTTGTTTTAGAAATTTTTTCAGGTAGCTTACAAAATTAAAAATGTTACGATAAAACCATTAGGAATAAGAACATAAGAAAGAATCAGTAGGAAAATATGGGTATAAAAATATGTAATAGATATATTTAATTATTTGTTTTTTGTTATTGCTGACTAGTTGGGCAAACTAATATGTATCTTCAGTGTCTGCAATTTTGGGCTTTAATTTTAAAAATTCTTTTGTGTCTCTCTCTTTCTATATATGTATATGTATATGTATATATATCCCCCACTCCCATTATTGCTAGCTTTTCCAAAATATTCAGGAATATTTTCTTATTTTAGATTCTCCAAGTACTTCTATATTTCTTGAAGAACTGAACGAAGCTGTTAAACCTCTCCAAGATTATGGAATTTCAGTTGCAAAGGTAGAAAGATATTTATGTTAGTAAAGTATTAGTGACATTTTACAACTCTGTAACTTCACACTGAGTATTTAAAAATATTTAATTATTTATGTTGTTTTGCAACTTTTTCCAAACTGGAAAGATAATATTTTTACCCTTTGTTTTCGAGAAGAAGAAACAAGTGCAGAAAGGAAGCTTCAGATTATTGTGTAAATTAGTGCATGTTGTTTTTGATAGGTACTGTTGAGGGCTCCAACTCATAGTGACACTGTGTACAACAGAATGAAACACTGCCTGGTCCTGCACCAGCCTCACAATCCTTGCTATACCTGAGCCCATCATTACAGCCACTTTGTCAGTCCATCTTGTTGAAGGCCTTCTCCTTTTCTGCTGACCCTCCACTTTACCAAGCATGATATCCTTCTCCAGGATGAATGGTCCCTTCTGACAACATGACCAAAGTGGGTGAGACTAAATCTGGCCATTCTTGCTCCCAAGGAGCATTCCAGCAGCCTCCTTCAGATTTGTTTGTTCTTCTGGTGGTCCATAGTACTTTCAGTATTCTTTGCCAGTACCACAGCTCAAAAGCATCAACTCTTCTTCGGTCTTCCTTATGCATTGTCCAACTTTCACTTGCATATAAGGTGATTGAAAACACAATGTTTTGGGTTAGGTGCACCTTAGTCTTCAAAGAGACATCTTTGCTCTTCAGCATTTTAAAGAGGTCTTTTGTGGCACATTTGCCCAGTATGATACAACATCTGATTTCTTGATTGCTGCTTCCATTGGTGTTGACTGTGGAACCAAGTAATATGAAATCTTTGACAACTTCAGTCTTTTTTCCATTTATCGTGATGCTGCTTATTGGTCCATTTGTGAAGATCTTTGTCTTCTTTATGTTGAGATGTAATCCATACTGAAGACCGTAGTCTTTAATTTTCATCAGTGAGTGCTTCGAATCATCTTCACTTTCAGCAAGCAGTTTATGTTGTCTGCATATCATCATAGGTTGTTAATGAGTCTTCCTCCAGTCCTGATGCCATATTCTTCTTTGTATAGTCCAGCTTCTTGGATTATTTACTCAGCATACGTAATTGAATGAGTATGGTGAAAGGATACAACCCTGACACACTCCCTTCTTGATTTTAAACCATGCAGAATCCCCTTGTTCTGTTCAAATGACAATCTCCTGGTGTATGTACAGGTTCCTCATGAGCACAATTAAGTGTTCTGGAATTCCTGTTCTTCTCAATGTTTTCCATAATTTGTTACGATCCACACAGTCAAATGCTTTTGCATAGTCAATAAAACATAAGTAAACATTTTTCTGGTATTCTTTGCTTTCAGCCAAGATCCATCTGACATCAGCAGTGATACCCCACATTCTATGTCTTCTTCTGAATCCAACTTGCATTTCTGGAAGTTCCCTGTCCATGTACTGCTACAACTGTTTTTAAATTATCTTCAGCAAGATTTTACTTGCATGTAATATTAATGATAGTGTTTGATAATATCCACGTTCCGTGGGTACCTTTCTTTGGAATGGGTACAAATATGGATCTCTTCAGTCAGTTGGCCAGGTAGCTGTCTTCCAAATTCCTTGACATAGACGAGTAAGTGCCTCCAGCATTGTATCCATTTGTTTAAACATCTCAGAGATATTCTTGGAACCTTGTTTTTTACCAGGTCCTTCAGAGCAGTTTTTACTTCTTCCTTCAGTACCATCAGTTCTTTTCTTAAAAATTATTAATTAATTAATTAATTTTTGTGATTTGGGTGAAGGTTTACAGAGCAAATTCACTTTCCATATAGCAGTTCACATATATTTTGTCCCATGACATTGACCACAGTTTACCACAATGCAATAGCTCCCCTCCCACTTCCTCCCCACAGTTACCTCTTCCCTGTGTCCATCCCTCCATGGACTCCTGCCCCTTGAGCTGTCTCCCTGTGCATAAACAGCCCTTCTTTCTCCGATGATTGTTCTCTCCAAGGAGTGTATCTACTTGAGGTAAATATTCAACTCATATACCTGTCTTTTATTTGGCTGGAAACCGCAGTTGTGGGTTTAATTCTAGATCTGAAGGGCAGCTAGGGGCCATAGTCTCAGTGGTTCCACCAGGCTCTATCGGACCAGCAAACCTGGTCCCCTCCTTTTTTTTTTCTCCAAATGCTTTTGAGTTTTGTTCCACATTGTTCTCCCTCTCTATCAAGGATCTCCTACATAGATCCCTTTCCAAGTGGATATCATCGGTTCTTGATCATATGCCACCTCCTTAAATGGATGAATGTCGAGCAGTTCTTTTTGGTACAGTGACTCTGTGCATATGTTCTGTTTTCTTTTGATTTGCATCACTCAATATTTTGCCCTTAGAATCTTTCAGTATTGCAATTCAAGGGTTGAACTTTTTTCTTCATTTCTTTCAGCTTGAGAAATGTCAAGCGTGTTCTTCCTTTTCAGTTTTCTAACTCTACGTCTTTGCACATTTCATTATAATAATTGGCTTTGTCTTCTCTAGCTGTTCTTTGAAATCTTTTGTTCAGCTCTTTTATTTTGTCATTTTTTCTAGTTGCTTTGGCTATTCTCCATTCAAGAGCAAGTTTCAGTGTCTCTTGTGACATCCCTTTTGGTCTTTTATTCTTTTCCTGTCTTATTAAGGACCTTTTGCTTTTTTTTTTTTTTAGGGCCCCGTATTTGTATTTATTATTTTTTTATTTTTTTAAATTTATTGTGATTTGGGTGAAGATTTACAGAGCAAATTCACTTTCCATACAGCAGTTCACATATACTTTGTCTCATGTCATTGACCACAGTTTAC